TATAATTGTCAGGTGGGACAGCTGTGCACTTGAAACACAGGTAGGGCTGAATCCTCAGGCGCCGAGCACATCACTCAGGGAAAGACAGGAGACGGCGTGTCTGGAATCAGGGATACATGTATTGATCTGTACAGTATTCGCACAAGGTAAAAGTCTGAAGTGAATCAACCTTGTGTGCTAAGATTTCATGTAAGACCTGGTCATAACCTTTAAGAGATTGCTCTGTCATCTTTTACTCACTCTCATGGCATTCCAAACCAAAAGAGATGTTCAAAAAGCTGCCTTTTGCCATATAATGAAAGGGAATGAGTACTGGGGCCAACAAGCTCCAAAATAAGCACTAATTTTAAGTCTTTGTTTGAGGAACAGGCTAAAATTTTATTCAGAATTTGTTGAAAATCTAGTCAGGAGACATAAAAAACCTATTTTGCTTAAAGGAGAACACCGCCGCAAAATGAACCTTTAGTCTAAATTACACATCGGTACCTAGTCGACCATTCTCTGAGATTTGTTTTCATGATAATCTAATGTAAAGAGTTTTATCTCTAAAAACTGTTTAGTGTATGCGCAAGTATATGGGGCGTATATGGGGAAGTAAAAAGAAATCGCTAGAAACCGCTGTCAAAATGAAGCATTGACAACTTTGTAAGTGTACAGACCGTTTAATAAGAAGATACTTTATAAAGACAGTTCACTTCGTGTATACAGGCAGCAGCCATCTTGGGAAAACAGTCTCGACCAGTCGAACCACGAACGCCGTTCATTCAGTTCATAAGTTTGCTGAACTTCATGCACGTCGTTCATCGTTCGACCTGTCGTGACTGTTTTCTAAGATGGCTGCTGCCTGTAAACATGACTTTATAAAATATCTTCTTATTAAACGATCTGTACTCTTACAAGGTTCTCAATGCTTTATTTTGCATGTATGGACCCTCATTATGTTACTGTGTTAGTGTGGGGCTATTTTGAGCCTTGTTATAAACTAGCGATTTCTTTTTACTTAGTAAATGCCCCCATTACTAGCATTATACGGTTAGCATTAACTAAACAGTTTTTAGAGATAAAACGCTTAACATTTGATTATCATGAAAACAAATCTCAGAGAACGGTCGACTAGGTACCGATGTTTTATTAGACCAAAGGTTCATTTTGCGCCGGAGTTCATTGAATTTAACACAACTTTAGGTGGCATGTTTGAAGGTACGTTTACAAGACAACTATATGCTCAAAATGGGGATGTTTTCCTCGTACTAACACAGTCTCATCCCAAGAAGTCATATAACTGACGTCTTGGGACGTCTTGGGACGTCTTTTGACCATACGTCAACATCCGCCTTTTTAGGGTACCCTTAAACATCGGTTACATGACGATCCCGGGCCGTCATACAACTGACGCTTTACCTTTAACGTCAGTAAGGTGACGGGGTAGGTTTAGGGGTAGGTTTAGGTCTGGGGTAGGGTTAGGATCCGATAACGTCATCTAACCGACGTTTAAGGGTACCCTAAAAAGGCGGATGTTGACGTATGGTCAAAAGATGTCGCAAGACGTCAGTTATATTACGCCTTGGGATGAGACTGCGCTGCTCGTACAGACATTGTCCTTCATTGTCAAAATGATCCCCAGTCACACGGATCCACAAAAATGACTGAAAACCTGTATTTTGCTGCCAGGCCATTAGATGGCGATGACACATTGTTGACAACACGTAATACGCATGTGCATGACGTCATTGTCTTCAGAGATCCGTGGTTTTTGTTTACACATTTTTATAAACGTACACTTTGAAATCTGTTTTTAAAAGTTTGCATCTTAGGCCCCCAAAACGCCTTTGTCGTGTAAACGAACAGTCAAAACACACAAGAAAGTATTACGCTTTTAGTTGAAAACGGTGTGGTTAAAATAGCTCCTAAGTATAAACTGACGAACCAAAACATTACGACCAGTCACAGTTGAAGCGAATATCATTGATCCTCTCCTAACAAGGTCACATGTTAAGGTGTGGTTGGATTAGATGGTAAGCAAACAGTCAATTCTCGTAACCAACGTGTTGGATGCAGGAGAAATAAAGGAATGAAAATCAGAGCGACGTTGAAAAGGGCCATTATTATGGCAAGGCGACTGGTTCAGAGTATCTCTGAAACGGTGAGGCTTGTGGGATGATCCCGGTCAGAATTGACCAACAGTGATCTGAGGAGGGAAAAACCAAAAACCAAGGCTCATCAATGCAGAAGGAAATGAAGGCTATTCCATCTGACCAAAGCCAACAGGACTACTGTGGCACAAGGCAGACGAAATTTGAATGATGGTTATGAGATGAATGTGTCACAACACTGCTGCGTATGGGGCTGTGTCCCCTGTCCACTGTCGAAAAGCATTAACAATGGACAAGCGAGCGTAAGAACTGGTCCTTGGAAGAAGTGGAAGAAGGTCACCTGATCCGTTGAGTCCTGCTTTCGATTACATCACATGGGCAGATGTGTACATGTGCGTTGTTTATCTGGAGACGTGATGGTGCCAGGATTCACTGTGGGATGACAAGCCAGTGGAGGGAGTTGGGCAATGTTCTGCTGGGAAACCCTTGGTTCTGGCCATTCATGTGGATGTCAATTTGACTCGTGCCCAACGTCCTAAACATTGTTGCAGATCAGGTCCACCCCTTCATGACAATAGTGTTCGCTGGTGGAAGTGGTTTCTTACGCACTGCACTGCACACATTGTTCAGGAATGGTTTGAGGAACATGATGAACAGTTCAAGGTGTTGCCCTGGCCTCCAAATTCCCCAGATATGAATCAAATTGAGCATTTGTGAGATGTGCTGGCCCAACAAGTTCCTACAGGACTTGAAGGATCTGCTGCTATTGTCTTGGTGCCAGAAACCACAGGACACCTTCAGGGATCTTGTAGACATACCTCGGCGGGTTGGTGCCGTTTTAGCAGCACGCGGAGAACCGACAGGATATAAGACTGGTGGTCATAAAGTTTTGGCTCATCAGTGTAGGTTCGTTACGCTCTGTACATTATGTAAGGAAATGATGACAGAATTAAACATTTTTGGTGAATGTATTCTTTTAAAGCAACAAGGTCGCCCCTACTGGTCGGAAACGAAATTGTCCATTACCGCTGTCGTAAATAGTTTATCCTACCGTCGCACGCACGCTCGTTGTTTATCCAGCACCAGCTTTAGAATGAACGATGTCCACAGACAAGGTATGAGTATGTTACATGATTTCATGAAAGGATGATGTATTGCGAAATCAGAAACGAAGAAAAACGAAATAATGACTATTGTAGCGCTTGACGTAAAGCAGTCAAATTTTGTAGTTCTTTTTGTGTTCGGCTTACTACGCGAACCCCGGAGTTTCGTAGTGCCAGTAAAAGAGATACAGACCTTATGAACCACTGATAAGATTTTGGAAACATTATTTCAAGGTAAAAAATGTTATAGTGTTCCTTTAATGTGCACAAGAACGTAATAAAAAGCAAAATTCAAGATTTTTTATTTATTTTGCTTTCCTTTTCACTTGAACGACTCCACAGAAACTCACTTTGAGGAGAAGGATCAATTTTTAGAAATTGCTGTTAGCACTTCCTGAATCTGAATCTGAAGCGAATTTGAGGGATGATGATATATCGGATTCAATAGTAGGTGTGAATAAATTCTAGCCGTTTCATTCCTAAACAACGTACAGTTGGAAATTGTAATAAAATCTCGAACATTTGAGCAACCGAACACACATAAACCCATATTGCTCTATGACGTTTCAATGGTTGCTTTGGCCAGGTGGTATTTATAGCATAGGGGGCGGAGCTTTAGATTCTAGAGAGCATTTGATTGGACAGAAGATGTGATGAGAAACTGAAGTCTGTGGTGATGTCAAATAAATCTGTGATCCAAAGTTTAAGTTTAATAATCTGTTCGAACTCGTTCATCACAATGAACAAATCTTTTTCCGAGTCAATTCGTTTGTTGAATGAACCAAATTACTCGGAAAAAGATTCGTTGATTTTGATGAACGAGTTTGAACAGGAGAGTCACAAACGTGCGTTACAGAACAGAGCAAGGCAAGCATTTGAGCTTATAAAACTTAAACTTGGCTATTTTTTTTTTTTAAATGAGCGATCGTTTCGCTTGATAAGACCCTTATTCATCGTCTGGAATCGTTTAAGCCCTTTTGCAGTTTGTACTGAAAGTGTCTTTTGGAACTTGAACCGTCTGGTTCCCACTGAAGTCCATTATATGGAGAAAAATCCTGGAATGTATCATCAAAAACCTTCATTTGTTTTCAACTGAAGAAAGAATGACATGGACATCTTGGATGACATGGGGGTGAGTAAATTATCAGCAAAAGTTTTTTTTCAAATGTGAACTAAAGCTAATATATTCATACTAAAAGCTAAAAAACTTTAATTTAGATTTTAGGGAGCCTTGAATTACTAAGTGAATGCATCCATTAATTTTGTATTGATAATAATTAATAAAAAGAAAATCCAATTTATTTATTATATGATTAAAAAATCTATTTATTTAAGAATGTCAGGGGTACCTCAGACAGGGTTAGAAAGATGCTACAGTTTACCAATAAAAAGCACTTGGTTGACTTGAGAGATTGTTTATTTGATATGAGTTTCAACAATTTTGAGTGAAATTCAAAATAAAATGTGTATTATTATAAGGCTCTTATCAAAATATTTAAAGAAAACATCGTTATCTCGGTTAAAACAGACTTAAAGAGCAATCATTCATTTCTGAAACTTAGGCGTAGGCTAATTCAAAAGACGAAATAGAAACGGTGTTGTGACAATAACGGTGAATCGTTTCAATAATAGGCTAATACTAATATTAATACTAATAATAGGCTACTATAATGATATTATGATATATAATGAGATTATAATAAAGAGATAATAATAATATAATTTGGAGAAAGAGACATAGCCTATTATAAATGAGTCTCCAGGTTTATTTCTGTGCAGCTGATCGGTCGATGTCAGGCACCACGGAAGCGACTGTGGGGGGAATCAGAGGCTGTGGCTCAAAACCAGTAAGCTGCCCAACTAGACAATGTTTTTGGACATTTAGCGCGTTGCGTGCTTCAGTGCAAATAGTCATCTCGCTCGCTGGATTTTGAGACACAGCCGTGTTTACTTCCGGATTCCTGAAATCAAGCAGCAGCGGGACTGAAGCATTGCAATCTCAGTGTACTGAACAGACAACATGGCACGGACCACCGGCACCCTCAACGCCAACTGAACACCAGAGTACCAAACCTGGAGAGACATCATTCAAAGTCAGTGGGGAGCGGCTCTATGTCCAAAACTGTTCGGCATAGACCAAAAATCTTGCCCTAGGCTGGATATAATTTGAGACAGCCGGTGAAAGTCAAATCAAAGCTCGAGTGGATCAGCTGCCAGCAGAATGGACTGGTTGATGGGGTGAGTTCAATATATTGGTCCCTTATAAATAATCATGTTGTGGCATAAATGTAGGCTATCTGTCTTCACATTTGAAGTTTTATGCCATATCACAAATTTAAGTTACATTTGTTTTTGTGAATGCTCTGAACTTTGAAGTTTAGTGGAATATAAACTGAGTTTATTGAACTCAATGGCTCTGTCGTTCGTCTAGCGTTTGGGGTCCAGATTCAGAACATTGTCTGACATTAAAATTGTCTGTAGCCCAACTTTAAACTGAGCATTGCATTTTGTTCTACGTATGTGGTTTCCTTCATGACATCCTGCCACATAAGAAGCTACACCCTGACCTGTTGAGTTATTTTAGGTTAAGAAGCGAAGACTTACAAATGTGTCACTGATGTAGATCCATTAAAACCTTTACTTTACCAAGAGACTTCCTCGGGTATTTGCAAATAGTTGGATGGATAGCTAAAAGTAGTTTTACATGAACTTGACTGAATGAGCTGCCATGTAAAATTTTTTATTAGTCACTTAACATCTTTACCTTTTGGTTTGACATAACATGTGTATGGTTGGTTCCCCCCCAAAAATAAAATCCTGTAATTATACTCGCTAGGGCTGCACGATTATGACAAAAATCATAATTGTCGATTATTGCCTCGAAATTATAATTGCGATTATTAATTACGATTATCACAATTTACATTGAATGATGTTTTGAACAGATTTATGCCATTGTTCGAAGTGACAGCGTGCAAATTGTTATATCAAAATAAAACGTCTGAAAACACCTGAAAAAATTTCAATTCTTTTCTATAGTTTAAAGTAACACCAAGTAACTTTTCCTCTTCGGTCGCCCTACTGGTTGGAAACGAAATTGTCCATTGCAGCTGTTATAAATAATTTAGCCTACCGTCGCACGCACGCTCGCTGTTTATCCAGCAGCGGCTTTAGAATGAACGATGTCCACAGACAAAGTAGAGTATGTTACATGATTTCATGAAAGGATGATGTATTGCGACATCAGAAATGAAGAAAAACGAAATAATGACTATTGTGATGTAAAGCAGTCAAATTTTGTAGTTCTTTTTGTGGTCGGGTTCCTACCCAAACCCCGAAGTTACATAGTGCCAGTAAAAGTGATACAGACCCCGTCAGGCGACGGCAGAAGTGCCTTTCACCCTGTTACGACTTGATGTACCACTGATAAGATTTTGGAAACATTATTATAAGTAAACAATGTTAGTTAGTGTTTTTTTTAATGCTAATTATAATTATAATGTTACACTAACTAAAATTAAAACAATGGGGAAAAAACCCTTAAGATAAGCTGTAAAAAAAAAAAAAAACATTTTAAGTACACAGAATAATGTGGACTTTTTATAATTGTGCCTTTGAACGATTACATAATTGTGGCATCCATAATTGTAATCGCGATTACAAATTCGATTAATTGTGCAGCCCTAAAACTCGCCTTATGTTGTTTCAAACCTGTATGACTTTCTTTCTTTTGTGGAACATAAAATAAGACATTGAAAAATGTCTCGAGAGTTTTTGTCCGTATAATAAACGCCAATGCTGTTTTGGATCCCATTGACTTTCATTGTGGTTATGGTTTGCTGTTAGTTTTAAACTGTCGACTGACATGGTTCAAGCTTATATTTGGTTGTTTATCAACTGCAGGTTCAGATCTGCTCTGGGCCTCACTATTTTTATTTCGTCAGATTTTCCATTTATGATGGCTCTTATTTTTATACAGCTGACATTACCTATTTGCAAAGGAATTAGCATCCTTACATGAGCAGGTTGATGTTCTTGTAGTTGTTAAACCCATGAAGGGATATTATTTGTAGATATATTTGTATTTGATGATTTATTTTGCTGCTTAATTGACTGATGAATGATGTCCAGAGATTTATGTGCATTGTATGGCTAGTGTCATTTATCTCATTAGGCAAAATTCAATTAAATTTTTTTGTCTTTAAGATTTTAGTTCAATGTGTCTTTTTAAAAATTTATATTTGCACCTTTTTTTTTCCATTTTTAGCAAAAACACCAATATGTAACACAAATTCAGGCTGAACTTTTTTTTTATTAGTTCTATAGCATTTTTTTTTTATTTGATAATATATAATGTTTTGAATCATGTGAACTCCCATCTGCACTCCGATTGGTTTTCGCTGCATTACGCATAACTCTCATTTGCATAATGTTGAACTCATGTTTGATCAAATCGGCAACTCTCAATAAAAATCATTCTATTACCGGAGACTTTTATGACTGTGCAGACTTCCCATGCGCAAAAGTAAATGCTATATATTGTGTATATGTTTTGTTTTTGATAAATAAACGCATGCAAGAGGAAGCGTGTGATTTTGAGAACATCTCTGTCTAACAGTGAGAGGTGACAGGTGGCTTCAGCCCATGCTTATAGACAGAAAAGGTCATTCATTGTCAGGCATTCCTATGGCTTTATGTCATCATACAGCTGGTTTAACAGGTCTAAAGACAGTGACCATACATTCACATTCTTGTGTCATTACATAAGCACCCTCTCTTGACCTGCTGCTGCTGTTTTTGCCTGTTCTGAACACATAAAGCATCACGCTATGCAGGCTCATATGCCAAATCCTTTCCTGTTTTGTTGTCTTGCGTAAGTGACATTATGGCTTCTGCCCTGCGATTCACCCAGTATTCACGCAGAATGATGGCTTTAATTGTTTTTATTCGAACTTGCAAGTGAATTTATCAATAAAGACATGAGCGGCAAGTATTTGTAAAAACACGTCTCAATTTTCATGTTATGAAGGAAAAACAAATATTGCCCCTGCCTCTGCAGCCTTGGTTACGTTAGCATTAAACTAAAGTATCTTTTATAGGACTTTTATTTTTATTGGCAAATATTTGTTTATTTATTTTAGGTTGGGGGGGGGGGGTGCTCAGAATCAATATTAATTATTATATACAGTATAGCTAACTAATGAACTGTGAACATTTGATAACTTTCCTGAGGTAAATATGCAACGTTAAGTAACGCATTGTTCACACTTTTTCTTTCCGCAGTTGAAACACTGATTGAGCGATTACATGAGATGTCACATGATAGATTTTGGGAAGTTTTCCTGTACTTTTAAACATACCTTTGATGTTAATGGATGTGTTTTGGGGCTACAACTATAAGCTAGAGTGTCAAAACGCCATTTATTGTTTGAATTTCATTATAAAATCGACATCATTTTAAAGCTGAGACTTTGTTTCTTATCAGAAGTAATCAAAACACAAAGCTCTTTATGATTATTGGATGGGAGGCGCTTCAAATACTGTTTGGTGTTGGGGAAAAAACGCTGACTTGCAACCCTGGCTTGAACTACGAGGTCAGGGTCAAACTGAGCTTGCTTTAACCTCACCATTTTTTAAACTGTGAATGCGTTATTATTGCATTAACTTTTTAGAAATTTTACACAGTAAGACAAGTTTTTCTGCACCCCTTTGATTGACAGGATTTAATCGGCCCTGATCATTGGCTGTTTTTAAAAGAATTGCTTTTATTGATAATTCCGATTATTGGTCGATACATCGGTGCAGCTACTTTAAAACGCTAATAATGCAATACCTTTAGATAATCTCAAAATGAATATTTATTCTTCCAATTCCAATTCCCATATGGCTTTTAAACAAATGAATAGGTAACATTTTAATTGAAGGTGACGTAGTTACACGTTACTACATGTACTTACTGTAATAATAACAGTAAATGATGCATTCAAGTAACTAACCCTAAATCAAACCCTATAGTTGATATTACTTATCTGAGGAAGTACAATGTAACTACGACACCTTAAAATAAAGTGTAACCTGAATTTATTTAGACAAAATAGTAGAATTATGGGTTATCGGCCATAACATGTCAGTAATTATCAGCTTATCGGTATCTGGCAGAATTTCAATATCACTGTATGATTCTCCGTCGATCTGACTGTTAGCGTCCCTGGTTTACATGATAGTTTGAGACTCTGAAGTTATTGATGTGAAAGAAGGCACTTGACACACACGGAAAGGAGCATACAGCTTTTATTTGAGTGGAGATTTCCACTATGTTGAAATAATAGCGATTACAGAAAGGCCGGAGGGAAGGAAGCGTCTCCGCTGGGTGGAGGGAGCCATTGTTTGCAGAACGGTGCTTTATGGGAACTGTGTCAGATTTTACAATAGCATGACGTTTATTATTGCCAGGTCAAGATTTTATGACTGGTCAACTTGAGTTATTTAGTTTGCTACAGTGTTTAAATATTCAACACCATTATTTAAACATGTACTTGACCGATTCTACAAATGTAAGTGCTTAACGTGGAATAAAAGGAAATCAACTGATTAGTTTGACAAAAGAAATCTTTATTATTTGCGGTCTTGCGAACTGTTTTTGGTGTTTGGTGAAATATGGCAGTGTGTTTTTCCTACTAAAAGGTCCTGGTCTGTCCTTGGAGTTTGTACTTGTTTTCCTTGGCATACTTGCTTGTTTACTTTCAATTTCTATACTTAGTGCAGAACTAACATTGCCAGTACATTTCAAAACACGTCCCAAATTTGAGTAATATTAAGCTCGATATTGTATTTAAAAATAGTGAAAAATTATATATATATATATATATACAATAACTGTTGTCCACCAAATACAAGTCGGTTACACTTTATTTCGATGGTCCACTTTAGAAATTCGGACACTCTTGTGATAACTGATAATAACCTTCAGTGATTGTGTTAAACACTTTTATCTGAAGTTAGTTTCTAACAATGAGCTCATAGATTTCACATTGTCTTTATTAGACAATTATTTATTGTCAAAATGTCAAAAGACTAGCTTTTTAAAAGTGTCTTGAGAGATATACTCACCTAAAGGATTATTAGGAACACCATACTAATACTGTGTTTGAGTCTGGTTCAGCAAAATGAACGAATCTTTTTTTCGAGTCATTTCGGTCATTTCATCATTATATAATTAAAATGGCATCTTAAATATC